CGTTTGACGTGGTATGTCAAGGAGGGAAGAAAAGCAGAATGCAATATCCTTGCCCTTTCTTCAGTGACCAACGTTACGATGTCCACAGCATCTACAGCAGCTTCGGCAAGGACATCCGGTTCTTGGTCAAGGAGGAGTTGAATTCAAATATCAATTTCACACGAGCCACTGCGATGTGAACGAGAGCAGGACCCTCAGCTGGTTTAACGCAAACTTTTACAGCCTGCATTTGGCTTCGACCCTTTCGCCAATTTGCACTCACTCCCTCACGGACACCAACGTGTGAAATGTGACGCGTGACTTCAAAGCGCTGGAATCAAGTCCACACCTGTCACCTAAGCCTCGCAGGCATGCAAAGAGAACTTGGCAGCAATCGTCGCCAGGGTGGGCGAGACAAAGAAGCGCGTGGCAGCGCAATACAACCTGCTGACCGTTGAAGAAGCCAGACGTGAGCAGCCGGACCTCGACGAGGGAGGAGGAAGACATCCTTGAATTGCCTGCCGCCTCAAGCATCGTGAAGGACGAAGTCGTCGATGATGACGCGCCTCCAGTGTGCATGTCTCGTGAAGAGGTACCGGAAGAGGAAGGAAGGGCGGAGCCGCCGCCCTCATGCAGAGGCGAGCCCAGCTGATGATTCTTCCTCAAGGAGACCTGCGCCAGCCCACCTTCGCAACTTCGGCAAGCTCGTCGCCTTACGAAGGCAGACTGGGATGAGATGTTGCTCCAAACGACCATTGACGACCTTTACATTACCAGCCGTCATCTGGTCGGCCAAGTCGAGTATGGATACCCGGTGTCATCATCAATGGGCATCCGCGTGAACTGATCGTCAGCAGTGGATGGGACTTCAACCCACCGCCCTGGGACACAGAGCGCGATGAGGATCGTTTCTTGGATCTCAACCAGTTCATCAGTGCACTCTTCACCGAGCTTCCCGAGGCAAAAGTCAAGTTCAAGGTGACAGACCTCATCAACATGTTCAAGCTCGTTAACAAGAACCCCTAAACTTAAGACTTGGGAAGTAGCCAAAAGATGGTTTTAAACAATGATCTATTTGTATGATTTTCTGATTTTTATGATTTATTTTATTAACTGAAAAATTGCATTTTTTGGTTTATGATTCTCTATGATGATTTTTATGATTTCATTTATGACCAAACTTATGATTTTTGTGAATTTGAATTCTGTATTTCTAGTGTCTGTAAATTTTCCTGGTTTCAATTTGCTTTTGAATGAAGAAAGCAATGCAACTTAATCTGCCATTGTTTCTGCACTGGGGTGTTCTTGGGCGGTAGGAAATTGAGAACGATATACGTTGACAATGCCACTGGGTGACTCTAGGGCCAGGATTGGAAAACTGCTGCTGTTGGTGCGCAGTGCGCGAGAATGATAAACACGCGCGACAAACAACTTGTCATTGTCGAGTAGAATCACGTCAGAATTTCCTTCACAGTCAGCTGGACTTGTGTAACCACTCAAAGCAAGATTGTGAACTTTAGCGGAAGTAGTGGTCGCGTAGGAACAGTAGGACACTGTAGGCCGATGATGCAGAAGTATCCAAGACAGTCGCTTGTTTTTTTGGTTCTGTGCTGCCATGACAAGGTTTGCTTTTTGCGCCTTTATTTTGCGCGCGGACATTGAGGACGAACTGCTGGCTGTGAACTAGCTAGCAGATAGCAGCTATAGCTGTTAATTTCACCAGTGCTAAGTTTGCTGCAGCTCGTTCCAAGTAACTTCTTCACCCTCCTACCTTATATATAATTTAGTTGAAGCGTAGGACGAGAAGACGAAACGATTCGACGCAGACGAAAGTTGTTGGGGGCAGCTACGGCCCAAGAGTGATTTGGCGCTGGAAGGAGTTACTGTTGCTGAAGCTGAACAGTCCAAGCCGACTTTTGCTGGGCGAGTTGAAGCAAAGCTGGAACTACTGCTGACCGTGCCGCCTGCGAGGCCAATTAGAGAACCCTGGCGCCGCAGAGTTGCTCGGCGATTCTTGACGACTAAGTTCTTGCTCGCTCAAGATAGCGACTTGCGACCCCAAACAGCTCAAGACCACCAACCCCAAACAGCTCCAGGCCAGCAGCCCCGAAACTTGAACCCTAGTCTCAACCGCGCGGGCAACCCCTGTGGAGCGATGACGCGTAGGTATCCCAGTTTTCGCGTCGTAAAAAATCCTCAAAAATCATAAATGAAATCATAAAAAAAGCATAAAAATTCATAAATGAAATCATAAAAAATCATAAAACATTTAATTTTTTAATGACAATTTATGATGTTTTTTTAAATGATTTTTTTACGATTTGTTGTTTTTTTCTGATTTTTTAATGATTTTTTGTGGTTCAATTTATGATTTTTTCTGGCCTCCACACGAGGTGGAGAAGCTACCACACCTCCAGGCCCACAGCTCCAGTATTTTCTAACCCTGGAGGTTGGCGTTTGGCCCGCTTTTCTTCAGGCTGAGAAGCAAAGCCTCCGGACCCTGGGCTTCGGTCAACTAGCGAGACGGCGGCAGGACGGCCTGTAAGCCGCAAAAGACAATAGTCAAGTCTGCGAACACGGCAGATTATGTTTATCAAACCTCTGCTCGTACTTTCGCTCCTAATTCTACAGGTTTTGGTACACAGGGCCAACAGCTAGCCGCCCAGTCTAAACCCTTGCCCCGCAAACCCAGATGTCATAGTGGCAAGTAGGGGTCCTTTCCGCGCGCCAAACCTTTTAACGTTGCGCAATGTATTTTATTGGGCTGTGCGCTGGGCGCTGCGCCACCAAAATGTTCGACGCCCCACGAATCGGCGACGTGAACGACCTCTGAAGGCAGTCTTTGGGCAGTCTTGGCTTGCGGCGGGCTGATTTACTGTGGATACGGTCAGCCAAAATAGAGACAGTTAAGTAATAGGTTAACAGGTGAAAGTGATTAGGTCTTTTGTAGCGAGAACACCTGTGCGTCAACTGTTCTGCTTTCTTCTGGCAGTGCAGTGCATGTGGGCTTGAAGAATGATTTGGCATGTAGAACCTTCATTCGCGCATTTCAAAAATACTTGTGGCTGTGGAATTTCAAGCTTTCAGGGATTGATCCGGAGTGTTTCGAAATGCGCGTGTGTGTGTGCATTACATAACTTTACTGGCTTGCTCACCGCACAGAGAGTCGGAGAGGACATTCTTCGGGTATAGTAGCAATGATTTTTAGTAAATATAGATAGAAAAAGAACACGTCAAATTAAACACTTCTGTAGCAATATTCTGAATGGGCTCAAAAGACTTCAAAAGCAGAAACACAATCAAACGCAATCAGAAAAGCAAATTGAAATCAAAAAAATCATAAATTGCACCATAAAATAAGCATAAAAAATCATAAAAAATCATAAAAAAGCATACAAAATCATAAACCAAACAATGCAGTTTGTCCAATTCATAAATAAACCACTAAAAAAACATAAAAAATCACAAATAAATATATTTACTAAAATATTTTTTTGGCTGACATTCTATGTCTTAACCCTAAACAGCACCGTGATCAATCAGCCCTTTTGGCCATTTAAGGTGCAAGCTTCCCAAGGATATTCCAGCAGGTTCATTTAAGGAGAAGGCGATCTGTTCTTCCACGTCGATGTGATTTACGTCAGACCTGAAGACGTCAGACCTGAAGTCAGACCTGAAGACGGCGGGCCGGACCTGTCAAGTTACAAAGGAACAGACGTGCCATCAGTTGGTCCTCTCACTGAGATGCCAGGTTGCGTACCGTCGCACCTACCATGCAGCGGTTGAAGGCTTTCAGCAAGATAGGGCGCGTGTGTACCTAGCCCGGCAACAGATTCGACAGGGGGAAGTCGTACCAAAGGAACCAAACAAAGAGAGAGCCTTCCAGACCTGAGCCGGATGAAGAGGACTAGGTTCAGGAAGTGGCACTGGCGGCATCGCAAGACCACCCGCGGGAGAACGTCCCCACAGCGGAACTGATGATGTGCCCTGGCTGTGGCGCGCAGTTTGGGGTACACTTGAATGATCGACCGGTATGAGCACGACATCGACTTTATCGAGCGCGCGACGGAGCACAACATTACCCGCTCCGATGTGCAGAGGCGAGATATCGCAGCGCATGGGCGCATGGGCGCTAGCCGACGCCGCCACGGACGCACCCTCAGGTGAATTTCGGCGTAGGCATGAAGCATGCAAATGAGTCACCGCCCGGCGCAACATCAACGCCATTGGTAGCTTCGACGTCCGTCAGATGCCCGCTGCCAAGACTTGCCAGCCGCTCCATCAAGCACATCAACACCACCAACAAAGGCGCCGCCGCAAGCAAAGGCAAAGGCCGGTGTGAGGGACGAGGGCGCTCTCCGCGCGGCTTGGTCCGCTGCCCAGAACTATGTGCTTCAGAATAGGCAGCGCTGGGGACGCTATGTGGCGTACAACGGTGACCGGGGGCCAACGTTGGAAGTACGATGGCTGAATTTAATTCATGCCAAGCAGCGCTGGTGTGGCTTGCATAGTTCACACATTTTGTTTAAGGTTCCAGTTCCAACTCTTTATTATTAGTATTATGAGGCGTGAGTTGCTGGCTGCAAAGCTATGCCCAAAGAGCAATTCCCATGTTCAACTGCTGATTCACGCTTCGCTTGTGAAAGCAGAGGGGGTGTTGAAATACATTTACCCAATGCCTATATTTTAAGCATGGTGCCGATTCCTACTGCAAACTTTGCAGTTCAAGGAGAAAAAGGTGCTCTTGCAGTTGCATAGGTTACGGTTTTGTTGACTAGATTTCAGTGGCTGAGCCTGAAAATACAGAATCTACCGTGTTTCGTTGCGAAGGGTTTTTGCGAAGGTGCATGTGGTTTGTAGAATGAAGCTAACACTTCGCCAAAGCACCCCTTACATACAACATCGTGCAGCGCCCTCGCGTAGGCAAATTTAGTTTGGGGAGAGAGATTGGTGAAAGCTTTGCGGAGGTATTGGCGCCTAGTGGCTGCGTAGTGGCCGCCCCCCAGACCACGCAAAAAATACAACGGCTCATTTGTCGTCCTCTTTGTGGGGCTGTTGCTTAAAGTTTTGAACCGCAACCCTGGATTGGAGGAACGATGTGTTACAGGAAGATGTGAAAGTGCTTCGCACGTGCTGAGGCGCCTATGCTGCCGGTCCTTCAGTCGCCCCACAAAAATTAACGCGTTCTACACCAAGTCCACCCAGCCTGGTGACTCGTTGCGCGAGAGCTCTTATAGTCGCAAGATCTGGTTCCCGCTGGGTGGTGCATGGAGGGAGCAAGAGAGGGGCTTAGACAGGGAGGCCGGGTATGTTGAAAGGGTCTCGGTCATATCGGTGGAGGTTTCGGCGCTTAATGCTTGCATCCACAAATGCTTTGTGGCTTGCGCATGTTAGCTTCCGGACCAACGTTGATGATGGCCGAGAATTTGTGAACGGTTGCGTTCCAAACTGGAGCGCTGACTGCGCGATCCGTTCGCCAGCGACCGTGGAACACAAACTCTCCTGGGCCTACTGCCGCGTGCGTGGCAGGCGGGCAGCGCTGGGTCACACGGATCAAGTGTGACTTGGTATGAATGAAGTGGCGCTTTTTGGACGAGGCTGCCTGGCAGGGGTTTTGGGTCAACGGCTTTGAAGTCTGAACATTCAGAGTCGGTTTTGAGTTTCCCTTGGTGTTTCTTACGTGTCGAAGCAGCTTGCCCATCAATAACCTGATGGGTTGCGTATGCGGACCAACACTGGCCTTCTCGTTTCTCAAATCTTTCTACGCTCCCCACCCCTGCAGTAAAACCTATTATAATACCTTTTTACCTGGAACTCTTCCTTCGCCAGGCCAAGCAGTAGGTAGAGTTGGCAGCAGTTCAACAGATTTGCTGCCGCCCTTTCGTACCAAAGGGGTGAAGCAAGATGTTGACGACGAACATCCGGATGGACTTTTGTTTCAGATTAGCCATTGCTGCTCTTTGGATTGTGTCATCGAAGGTGTGAACATGCCAGCTTTGTTTGGGGGAGGTTGCGGGTTGGTGGAGGGTGTGTTGCGCATGCGAGCCGTTCCTCTACCCCAATGACTGTAACATAGTTTCGCCCTTCATGAATACAGTTGAATTACATTGTGGGAGTCTAAAGTCGCTCATGTTGTGGGACAAATGTTCGGGAACGTTGCAACTTCTACCGTCACTCATTGTCACCCAACGTCGCCAAACGTCACCGCCTGTTGTTGGCAGAAAGTGGGGCCGACGCACAGCTTAGGGGACCTTTGAGAACCTGGTGCACGGCGTAGCTGCCAAGGAGCCGGTGACACCGTGGGAGGTTCATTTGGTGGGGCCACACGCTGAAAAGAGGGCGACCACTGGGAGTGACATTTTTTGGACAAACGCAACGCACAGCGGTAGGAGTGTCACGTCGGAAGTCATTGTCATTACATCACCCTTTCGCGTTGCTGGGGAAACATGACCTATTTTGAAGACATCTGCCCGAGGCGTTCAAGGTACGCGCTGCTGCTTGGCAGCAGTTGGCTGAAATCGCTGCGCAAGACCTGGAACCAACTATGACTATAGCAGACTTGATCCAACAGGAGGTTGTCAGCTTAAGACCTGTGCAAGAAAAAACAGCATGTGATAGATAGACCCACCCTTATCCTTTGAACTTTAAGGCTTGTGCGAGCTTCATTGAGATTGCGGGCTGACCGCTGACGGAATGTCGATTTCTCGATCCCGGTGCTTGCTTGCTCGCTTGCTTGCTTTCTTTCAAAGCTCCACATTCTGACCCCGAGCAATCGTTCCCTTAGATTCTATTGGTGGGCTGACTCACCTTGCGGACCGGGTTCGTGCAGCGGCCACCGCGAAGGCGCCTCCCACCAAAATGGTGGGGCGAACATTTGCTGCGTGGCGGGGCTGGGGCCTTGGCGTCCGTGATAGACGCTCCGTTTCACGGCGTACAGGTCCGAATGTAGATGCAGAAAAACAGGAGTGTCATAGATGGAGCGGATGCATGCTGCCTCAAACATTTTTATCACACCGACTGACCTTGCGGACGGTGTTGTGTGTTGGGCAGCAATGCCTGGGCATGGCCTAGATCCAGCCGCCGCCCGGCTTCTATCCGATAGTAACTAGCAAACTATATAGCAAATTTTATCCTACATCACGGCATCCAAAAATTCAAGCTGTTCGACCGGATCGGGACCTGACCTGGCAAACCAGAACCAAGTGCGTGTGAGCCAAAAACCTTAGAAGAGTGCCAAGTGTCGCGCAGAAGTGTCATAGAACAGTGTCGAGCAAGAGTGTCCAGCAAGAGTGTCACGCTGTCTGACATGATGAAATCGATGAAGCAGCTTGGTTATGGAAGGCTATTGTGGCTGATGGGCTTTTGTACTTTTATGCGCCTTCCATTCGGGGTGAGCCTACACCTCGTGGTGGCGTGCATGCCAGAGTCATCAGAAGTGAAGCGCAAAAACAGCGGCTATATTATGGGCAGTTGGCGAAGTCAACAAACTATTTGGAGCTTCCTTGTTTTGCAGTGATGGGAAAACAAGCTTGCATTCATTCAAGCATACCTCTCACGTTTCGTTAAGTTTGGTTCCAGGGTAGTGGAGGGTGGGTTTCGGCTTTTCTTTGTCTGGCAACATTGGGCCAGGGGGGGGGCCATGGATGGGATGGATGGATTGAGCGATGCTCGTGGATCGGTTGACGTGGATGTAGATGACCCCCTGCGCCAGACGGCGGATGATAGATTCGGCGCCATGGCTACGAATGATTTCAACAGGATCTTTGCAGAAGATAGTATGATGAGCGTTGGCGCTGGTATTCCAAAGTTGCCTTGGGAGGAAGGCATTTTTGGACAGATTTTTGGTGCGAATGATCCTACGGGACTACCGAGCTTGGATTCCTCACCACAGCCTGCATTCCCAGTTCTCCTTCCAGAAAATGATGTCTTGGCCGACGATAGCGGTTACGTGGTCACAGCTTTCGAACGGGGAGCGCCCATGTTTGCAAAGCATGTGAAAGCATTGTGCAAGCGTGACTACCTTGAAGAGCAAGATCTCAAGTGGACGGAAGCGCTTGCTAGCTGGCTGACCATCCTGGAAAGTTGCGCATTCGCTGCGCGAATTGGAGACTATGTTCTGGAGAAATTTCAGGCTGGGGACCGGGAAGGGGCTTTGGTTTACATTAGAGATGCATGTGGAGTGAGGTCGCCGAGCACGGTCTTGAAGAGGGCAAAAGACTTGCAGATGTTCATCAGCTGGTGCCAGAAGACCAAACGCATCTGGTGGCCTTTGGATGACAGAGTCTTGTTGGCTTTTCTTGGAGAGTGCGAGCTTGAAGGCAGAAGCAAGTTCATCGGTAAGAACCTCGTTCACGCACTCAAGTTCTTCAGGTACCTGATGGGGGCCAAGTTCAATGTCGAGCAAGTTTTGGGACCGCTTTTGCAAGGCCGTGTTACTCGTGTGCTCTCAACGCGAGACCCAACTCATCAGGCAAAACCGCTGACGGTCAAAGAAGTCGCAAAGCTGGAGCGCTTGGTGTACGATACCCCCAACATCTTTGACAGGTACTTTGCAGGATGCATGCTCTTTGCGCTCTACTCCAGGGCGCGCCGGTCGGATCTCTCTTCCACGCAAAGCTTCTTCTATGACGTCATGGAGACCAACACTGGGCCGTTTGGATTTGTGGAAGGCCGAACTCGCATCCACAAGACCTCCAACTCAGTCGAGAATCGCATCGCAATGTATCTCCCTTTCGTCGCGCCCATCCAGGGGATCACTGAAAGGCATTGGGGCTTGGACTGGCGAGAGGTGCTTGAATTTTAGAGCATCAAACGCAGACGGAACTTTTACAAAGAGGCCTTTGTCTACTTCGGAAGCCTAAGCGTCGGACATGTTGAACGATTTATAGAGATCATGGGGACCGACGATGAGACGACTTCACACAGCTTGAAGAGCACGACGCTTGTTTGGTGTGCGATGACGGAAGGCTTGCACTGAATTCTGGCCGCATCAGGGGCCTTGGGGGGGGTGCAGCCCCCTCCCTCTTGTCATTTCTTTGGGCATGAATGGTGGGGGTGCTTCTCCCCACAGCCCTTGGTCGCGCATAGGTGGTAGCCTCGCTCACAGGTCTCGCCGGCTTGAGCTTTGTTGCACCCATCGATGTTGTAGGCGAAGCATAGGCGAGAGCCGTTTGGCAAACACGATGCGCATCCCTTCAGCGCAATTGGCAACTTCCGTCCAGAAGGGTACATGTGGCCTCTCTTGGTCTTGCCCTTCTTCCACACTTTGTCTGAAGCCTTGTAGTTGGTTTTGGACTGGTTCTGCCAATTGCTGCTCCATTCTTGGGATTTCGGTTGTGGCTTGTCTGGTTTGGCCTTTGCTTGAGGCTGGGTTGGCAGCATGTAGTACATCACCGCGTGATCTTGAGGCAGGCCCTGGATCATAGCATCCAACGGTCGGGTGTCATCTGCTTGTGGTTTGACGCCGTCCCGGGAAAGCTCCTGCATCCGGACGAATGCCTGTCGGTCTGCCCTTAGCAGTTGAGTCACGCTCGGCTGCTTGAAACCCGGTGGCGCGGCTTGCCGCAAGATCTGGAACAGATGCTGGTTCCATTTTACAAAGGTCTCAAAGTCAATCAGCTCAACCAGATCAAAGGCCAAACTCCTGCGTGTCATTGCTTCTAAGACATCCAGCTCAGTTGCCACGGGACATAGTTGATCTCCTTGGACATCTTTGATGAGTATGCCCTGGCCGGTTGAATCGAGCTTTAGCTGGTAATCTCTTGCATCCTGGCGATGCACTTGTTCGGCGCTAGGTATCGCAAGCTGTCTGCTTGCACCATGCCGCTGATGACGTCGTAGACCTGGTACGCCACCTCAAGTGGACCCTCCAATGTAGGTCCAGCTATGGCAATCCTCGACATCCTTTCTGCTGCCGGCAGCTTGGTGTTGTTGGGGCCGGCTGCTGGGTCAGCTTGCGCTCATGTCTGAGCGATCACGGAGGTTTGTTTGAGCGTCAAAGATTAGCCTCCTCAGGACGGCAATGTGTCCGACTGTCACTGCTCGGCCTGCATCGAGGATCAGCTGTCGAATATTGTCCTCTGTTGCTGGAGTCCCTGGTTGTCCACATGCGAAAGCCAAGCGTCCTAAGTTGGTCACTCCACGAGTCGCCAGTCCACGTAGAATGTCATCGGCCAATCCCAACTGTCCTGCTTGCCGTTCAAAGGCAGGGACACTCTCCGTCAGGTTGATAGACACCATGGCCGGTCGGGTTGGTTGAAGCAAAAAGAGACGCCCTAGTTCATGTCAAACGTGAATGTGCGACCTCATGTCAAATGAATTTCCATCTCTCTTTCTTGAGCCTCAGCTCTCGAAAGTCGAGTTATCCACCTTACGTCGTTCTTCCTCAAGCCAATTGAACGAAGCGCAATCGAGATTGAACCTCATGTCCAACGAACTACCTCGTGTTTAGATTACCATTGAATCTAACCTCGTGTGACGTGTGAGAATGCACAAAGCGCATGACCCTCATGTCAAGGAAGACGCTCTTAATACAAAAGTGACTGAAAAGGCCATCCAAACAAAATGAACTTGTTACCTCATGTGTCTTGCACGTTTGAGAACTCACTCTGCTCTGTTTTACCCAGGCGCGGTCGTTCATTCTTGTCGGCGGCGTTTCTCCGCCACATACTCAGCGGCCAGCCCCGTCAGCTTGCATGCGCCGCGGAAGCACCTGCTGCACTTGGGCCACTCAAATGCGGCTCCTTCATCAAGGACGATGAATCCATCGCCGGACAGCCCACATTCTGTAACTGGCTGCCTGTGGTTCGAAATATCGAAGCTCTTCTTTGTGCAGCATCCTGCTTCTCTTGTTCTGCATCAATGGTCCTTCGACTGCTGGCTCTACGGCCGCCTCTGCGAAGCTTTTCAGCTTCCCGCGGACCACCTCTTCGTTCTCGTCGGTACAGCTGCCGCCATCTTTCGAGGAGGAGGATGCACTGCCAATGACTTCGCCATCGCTTTGAACGTCGTTTCGAGGTTCAGCATCTTCCTTCTCGACCCATTGAAATTCGTTGAAGGGGTTTGACGGGTCGAAGCCTTCTTGTTTCGATGGATCTTCATCTGGTATGCTGATTTGATCTACAGGGCCAATGCTTGGGCTTGGCAATGGGCTCTCTGCCGCCTCACCTTCTGCAGTGAACTCATCGTCGAAGGTCAAAGGCTCCTGGCGGCCTGCAATCCATCCGGAGCGAGTTCCGTCGGGCATGAAGTTCTCGAGCTCAGCAGCATGACGCATAGCTGCCTCATCGGTCCTGCCAAAAGATCTCTGGAGTAGCACGCCATCGAATTCTCTTTGATCGCATGGTGCCCAAGCATCGCCCGTTCTTTGTCTCCCAAGCCATAGCGACGAAGCTCATGGCGGCAAACGCAAGCAGACGTCCTGCACTCCATGTGCCATTGAGCGAGGTCACGCCCCCTACAACCAACACCAACATGCCAGGGACACAGCAGCTCCATTTTGCACAGAGTTTTGCTCAGGGACAGCAGGCGTAACTGCACAGTTGCGCAAACTGGGGATGAGGGCATCGTTTGGTGTCGACAGGATGGTCAAACCGACTTGCAAAGCTCCGGTAGTCCAAGTTGACATTGGAACAGACGATGGGCACAACCTAGCACGATATCCACAGGCCTTTGCAAGTACTGCCACTTTGGGCTTCCTTGCGGAACCAGTTCAAGAGCACGGGAGATTCCCCTTCCAGGAGGCCCGTGTCCTTTACGATCAGATGAGTACCCCGACGGGCTGCCTGACCTCCGCCCAAAAGATCAAGAAAGGGTCAACCTGGCCAACCTCGTCTACGACCCGCTTGTAAGTTGATCTTGTTGTGCATGGAACTTGGCGTTCATTGGTCCGTTGAGCAGCCATCGCGAAGTCTCTTCTGGCAGACGACCTTCTGGAAGTCAGTTTTGGACGTTTGCAGACCATGGTACGTCACATTCCACAGCTGCATGTTCGGAGGTAAGCGACCCGAGAGCACCACACTTGCAACTGACATCAGTGATTTGCAAGAGTTAGCATGCGAGTGCGACAATCAGCATGCACACCT